AAATTCCAATACAAAAAAAATCAGTTTGGTTTTTGTTTAAAATTCAATATTTTTTTACAAATTAAAGACGTGTTTATCTTTTTAACAGTTTAGAACATTTTGTCTTTTTAGCTTTTTCAGTATAAATTGAAAATTTATCATTAATTTATTCATTTTTTTTTTTTTTTTTTCCGAATTTAAGATTATTTTTATTTTTTAAAATTTCTTTCAAAAACCTAGATGGTTATAATATATTCCATATTTATTTGTTAAATATATATACAATTTGTCTTGACAGTTCCTTTTGGATTGTTTTGGATTTCTTAAATTTTTCAATTTTCTTAATCTTTTTCCAAATATTTCCTAGCAAATAAAAACCATTTTGTAGGTAGTTATTCGTTTTTTGTTTTTGACTAGGTTTTTAAAAATTTATACTCCATATTTTTCGTTAGATAGGTTATGTGCTCTTTTTTCATGTGGATTTCAATTGAAATAAAGTGGACTAAATTTTGTTAAATATATCCTCATTAATGCCGTAGACATTTTTAGTCTCTTCCTCGACAAAATCCTTTTGTTTTTCAACCAAAGAAACTTTCGAAGCTCACATGTTCAGTTCATATTAAAACTCAATTTACATTTAAAAAATATAAATATATATAAATAAATATATAATATATATATATAAGAAAATTATCCGTATATATATATATTCATTTACTCGAATACCAATGGAAACAGTTTCCACTTTATTTTTTTATTGTTTTATATATGAAAAGAGAAATTCATTATTTCTCTTTGAGCCATCTATTGGACTGTTTGTTTGACTCATAAGACTCTTATCATTTTCAATTTTGCATATGTTTAAATTTTATTTAAACTTTAAATACGTATTTGAAACATCTTTTTCTTTGAGATGCAACCATAAAAATATTTTCTTAAAATAAAAATAGTCATTTAAGATTTCATCTTTTTCAACCTTTGACGATTGTTTTTCGAATTTTTAGTATCCGTCTATATTAAAAATGTGTTCTATTTCTATCATCGGATAAAAGTTATATCAAAACCTTTGTCCTGAATGAATTGTTTTTTCACCATTTGTTCAAATTCAAAGTCAAAACGTGGATTTAATGGGTTTGAAAAGAATAGACATTTCTTTCCCTATGCCACTTAAATTTCCTTTTTTTATGTAAATGTTTATGGTCCGGTTCCTTGTACCACGGTGATAGTCCAAGGTAGAACCAATAAAGAAGAACTCGAACACGGATATGGAATAACACAGATATATTACAAACAGGAATATATACAGAGAAGTAGAAAGTGTTAGTACGAACAATCAGGTTTAGTAGTAATTGTCTGAACGCGACTCTGTTTCGGACTGCCTCTGACTCGACTGACTGACTGACTCGCTGACTGACTGGCCGACTGACAGACTCCTGATAGACTTCAGACTGAACGGTATTTAGTCACCCCCACGAGGGGCATCATGTGGCACAAGGCCGGTTTAACGTGGGATCTCCGAGCCCGTGGGCTCGGCCAAAATATGCCCTTTGAACCCGTATAAACGGGTTCAGGGTCGGTTTATCTCCCCGAAAGAGACTCCGCCCTTCGGCGTAGCCTCGTTCGGGTTCCTCCCCGCCCGAAGGCAGAGAGTTCAACCGATCAGCCGGTCGCCCGACTTCGGACTGAACTCCCTGCTTCCTCTTGAGGCGCAGTATTTATTACGTATGGAATAGTCCATTATGTTATTATGGGTAAGGTCCCATAAAAATATATACACAGAAAAATACTATGTTTCGAAACCGAAACTCTAGCCCTAAAGTTTAATTTCAAAATTAAACTTAAAATTTAAAGTACGGTTTCATTCTCAAGCGATGTTAAGAATAACTTACGGCGAAATCGGTTTTACTCTATTTATCAGTTGGAAATGTTGGTATTATGAGAGTTCCTATTTTTTTATCAAGGGGTTTCAGCTTTTTACGAATGAAGATAGTAGGAATGTCTTAAGGTTGGAAGGGTATTTTCTGGTTTTAATAGAAAAAAAAAAAAAAACAAATTTCTGGCATTAATAGAACAACATTTTCCTAGTAATAGTAAAATTAGCAACTGCAACTACACTGAGCAGACCTTAGTTGACTTCGTACCAGGACAGATATCAATGACCCCAAAGTGTTCTGTCTATCCAGTTTCACCCAAAGGTTGAGTCAACCTACGGTATGGTTTTTCAGTCACTTTCCAAAGGTGTCGCACGCATATATATATAAAATAAGTTATTGAAAATCTTGGTAATCCGTATGGGTAGTCCCAAGGAGGATGAAATTCTGAGAGCTCAATGTAAATTCAGAGCTAATAATTTAAAAAAAAACAGACCACTTTAAGGCTCCATTGTAATAATTTAAAAATTTTATTGGATCCTCATACATGTATGAGGATCCAGGGTACTTTAAAGGTCTCTGGTGAAATAAATTATTACAATGGAGCCTTAAAGTGGTCTGTTTTTCTTGAATATATATATATTATGGCATAAAAATGCAAGAAATTTTATATTATAGGCCATGATAGATTTAAAATAATAACAAAAATACACACCAGTCGACCGGTTTCGTCCCCCCTCATCAGAACTGTTAAAGGGGGACACAAATTATGAAAAGAAAAGAAAGTCTGTCATGGATGACGTGATATGAATGGACAAGGAGAAGAAAAATATAATTATAAAAAATTATACCAAGATGCTAGAAGCGCATTTTAAGCATCTGATGAGAGGAGACGAAACCGGTCGACTGGTGTGTGTGTGTGTTTTGTTTTATTTTAAATCTATCATGGCCTATAATATAAAAATTTCTTGCTTTTTATGCCATAATATGTTTCTGTAATATTTATAAACATATTTAAATATATATATATATATATATATATATATATATATATATATATATATATATATATATACATTTTTAAATAACATGCAATTGGTCTTTTGTAAGATGCTAGTTGATGCTAGTAAAGTACAGGTGCTATGGATGACTTAGGTTGACTGTATTAAATTTAGTATAGTTTATAATTAATTTTATTTTTCTACTTGGATCAGTGGGGATATGATCGTGTTTATGAGTCATTTTTAGAATTCTTTCTTCCTGTTTATAGTTACAATACATTTGATTACAGTATAGTAGTTTAATATGTTAGAGTTATTTGAGAAAACTCCTTATGTTCAATTTTTATGTTAATATTCCAAATAGCTCGTGTAAAAATCATCAACGATGTAATTAGGAAACTCATTATTAATGAATTTAATAATATTTTAATTCCGTATAGAAAATTTTTTTTGTTGCGTTTGCACGGTTTAGTATAATGGCTATATTTTTTATAGAACATACACTTTTATAGTTGAGAGTGCACGTGTTTATTCTAGTTAATTTTTTTAGATGGGGTGGTAGTAAAAGTATTATTATTAGTGTCTATTAATACATCAAGAAACGGGATCTTATCTTTTAAAGTTCGTATGTGAAATTATGTACGGAGTTCTTTGGAAAGTTTGAGAATATATCTACATAGGTAAATGGAGGGTTTTTGTAGCATTAAGTACGTTATTTTCTAGATTAGTCATGTAGAAGGTGCTAAATGTTGGTCCCAGGATAGAACCCATAGAAAGACCATCGCATTGTACCTGTATGTTATTTTGATGGTCACATAAAGGAACTTCTGTTTAATAGATTAAGACGTAGTTTTCTTAAAATATTAGGACTAGTTTTTAATGGAGGGAGAGATGGATTGTTGTAGATATTCTTCATGATTATATCTATCGTTTCCCTGACTGGGACGTTGGTTGATAAACTTTCAATGTCAAGTGCGGTTAGGGTTTCATTTATTAGGTGTTTGATTTTTTTAGGTGTTTATTTAAAATAGATGACAGGTTGATAGCTTGACTGACAGACGGAAGTTTATCTTGAAATCTGTAAAATTACTTAATTTGGCTTTAAATTACCTATAGTTATTGGTCTTACTTTTTTGTTATATATATATATATATATATATATATACGTCCGTATTTACAAAAAAAATCGTCATATAGAAAAAATATTAGGGTATATTGTTTCGATGAATTCTAGTAAGCTTTTCCATTTATCATTAGTAAATATAGATTTTTTTCAAATTAATAAACAGTATAATCTGTTTATACACACACACACACACACACACACACACACACACACACATATATATATATATATGTATGTATATATATATTAAAAAAACATGACCACTTCCAATTCCCTAATTATTTCATATTCAATCCGAAATAAAAGTCTTATAAAATATTTAGATAGAAAAGCGGTACCTCCTGATAAACCCATCGAATCAAAATATATTGTTCAGCCTAAAATCTCTATCACTACTACAATTGAAAAAAAATTTATCTAAATTCAACATAAAATTTGTCATAACTACGTCTAAAACAATAAAAAAAACTTTATCAATACAAAACAAAATAAGAAGCTAAAACTTAAAGGGTTAATTTACCACGAGGATTACATCGGAGAAATCTTGAGGAATTTAAATAAAGATTATATGAACACAAAAGGGATCTTTTACAAAACAACTAAATTAATTGTATTTTATTTGCTCACTGTAATGAAACTTTATATAATTTTGATTTAAAAAATTCTACTCTAATTAAGAGAGGAAACATTTTATTAAATGTTTAGAAACTTTTATTCGCTTGATTCTCCACAGTCAAATTTGAGTCCAGGTTCTTAAAACGTTTCACCATTCGTGGCAGTTCTATCCTCAAAGATGGGGGTATTTAATAACAAAAGTGGTGGAAACATAAACAAAAAAAAAAAATCTAAAATGAATTCGGCTAAACATTATATCCCAAAACATTTGAAAAAAAAAAAAAATTTTTGTTTTTGAAAATTTTCATAAAATCTTTCCATGCGCATGTCTAGCCACGTCAACGTAAACAAAACTTTTTGTCCGATGAAAGCCTAGAGGACGAAAAGCGTCTTGTAAAATCTCTCCAGTTTGTCATACTTTTCCCCAATAAAATTCTATACAAAATTTTATCGTTCCCCTGGCATCTATCTATCTATCTATCTAATATCTATTATCTATCTATCTATCTATCTATCTATCTATCTATCTATCTATCTATCTTGCATAGCAACTGGTCTATATCAAAAAATCTATCTGAATTCAAAAACCTTTATAAACAAATCACGGTAATTTTTTTTTTTTTTTTTTTTTTTTTTTTGCACAAAGGTTTTATATTCATCTATTCAAAAAAAATTTTTGGTTCTGCATTTGTTTTTTTTACCACTATAATCAAATCCTATGTGCAGGTTTCTTATCTTGGTTCCTAAAATAAATTTGGTTTGAAAAATACGTCGAAAAATATTTGATAAATGTGTCCACTACATATATATATATATATATATATATATATATATATATATATATATATTATATATATAGATTGATATAAGTAATTTCAACCAAGTAAATAATATTAACATTTCAGTATCAGTAAATCAATTATTGATAAATACGGATTAGTGATCGGGTTTAGGCAACCTATCTTTTAAAGGAAGCCTAATGTCTTGTTAAAAGACCATAAACCCGAATTCAAAACTAAGCCATCCACTAGACTTATAAACCCTACTAGACCAGAAATCGGTAGGATTAGTAAGACCATCTTAGAAAGAATCAACCACTTCAATCTTAAAAACACTTTCTTGGACTGCTACAATGGATTAACACAACTGATGTCATCAACTGGTTTAACAACATACGATATAAGGGAAAATGTTCATTCATACAGTTCGATATTATCGACTATTATCCTCTTATCGAAGGATCTTTTCACCTTGGCCTTGGACTTCGCCCGGGAATATTCTACTATTTCTGAAAGTGAAGTTGACATCATCATGAAATGCCGAAATTCTGTTCTGATTTACAAGGATGAACAGTGGACCAAAAAAAATATTTGCAACAACAATTTTGACATTTCCATGGGTTCTTTGGATTCTGCTTTTTTTCTCTTCGGACTTGGTTGGATTATTTCTTTTATATAATTTAAGTGCCTTCGATTGTCTAGATTCAGATAGTGTAGGATTATATAGAGATGATGGATTATTAGTTGTTAAAAACTCAACTAAAATTAAGGTAGACCGTATTAGGAAAATGATCTATAGGGTATTTAAGGATTTAGGTCTTAGGACAATAGTTACTACTAATGTTAGACAAGTGGATTTTCTAGATGTCACCCTAGATCTTGCTAACAACATTTTCCAACCATATGTGAAGGTTAATTCCAACCCATTATACGTGCATCCTAATTCCAACCATCCCCTTCAGTTATCAAACATATACCCTCTTCCATTGAATTTAGAATTAGCGCTAACTCTTATAATAAGGAGGTTTTCAATAAACATAGTGATTTTTATAATTCTGCACTAAAAAATAGTGGATACAAAAATACCACTATTCAATATAAAAACCCTGTTAATTGCAACCATAATAAGAAAAGAAGATCTAGAAAGATTATTTGGTTCACTCCCCTTTCAATGTTATGGTTAAAACTAAATTAGGGCGTATATTTATAAACCTCATCAAAAAACATTTTCCAACCCTGAAACTAACCCACTTAGTAAAATATTTAATCCTAATACCCTTAAATTAAGCTATAGTTGTGCTGATAACCTGGAGAAGATAATTAAAAAACATAACAACATAGTCTTTAACAAGTATAGGATTCAAAAGGCTTGACTAATCAACAGGTTACTAACTGCAATACTAAATATAAGAATACAAATAACAACTTATGTAATTGTAGGAATCCGAATAATTGTCCACTACAAAATAACTGTGGGATTACTTCTGTAGTCTATCTTAGTACTATTTCAACAATTGAAAATCCAAATATAAAGAAGTTTTACATTGGTTCTACCATGAAAACATTCAAGGAACGCTGGCGGGGGCATATGCAATCCTTTAATCACAGTGAATATAGGTACATGACTTCATTATCCAAGTATTTTTGGAATCTAAAAGATAAGAACAAAACACCTACGGTTAAATGGAGTTTGGTTAAGAAAGCTCGGACATGTAACTCCCTATATGTCCCATGTTACCTATGCCTTAATGAAAAATTTGAAATTATTAGATTTAAAAAAAAAGGCTGATCTCTTAAATCAAAGATATGAACTTACTGTTAATTGTAAACACCGTTATAAATTTAACTTAGTGTAGGGGTCGTATACTTTAAATGATAATGATATGTCGCTGTATTTTTAATAGATTAGTATTTTTATTGCATGATGGTCATACTTACGATATAAATGTGTATTGTTTACCTGCATAGTGTTATTAGTGTTGGTGTATATGTGTATATATTTATTTATGTGTTGGTTAGAGTATTGGCACTGAGGAATGTGTAGGTTTGTGTATAAGTGTATTTATATTTTTTTTTTTTTTATATATATGTGTGTATGTATGTGTGTATATATATATATATATATATATATATGTATATATATATATATATATATATATATATATATATGGTAGATTAGAAGAGAAAAGGTTAATAATTGTTGATGTATATGTGTATGTGTGTGCCTATATATGTGTGTATGGGTGTGTGTATATGTATATATATGTGTATATAT